GATGATCACGTCGTGGCCGACGTCAAAGATCTACGATTTTCACGGACATCGGGAGGGAGAGGGTGCAAGGCGAGGAAACAGGCGACCGGGGACGCAGATTGAGCGAGAAACGAAGGCTTTTACAAAAAATGGTTCAAGTTCTTTCTCGTCGATGACGGTGCTATTCCTGCTTTTCTGGTGCACCATCTGATGCTGGCGACGAGAACGAATAAGGATAATGACCATGGTAGAAATGATACGCTCATGTCCTCTGGGCCGCGAGATAGGGTCATTTTGAAAAAGCCACCAGATAACCTCATCTTGAAAACGCTCACTTTCACGGCCAATATAGACCGTATGACCATGAGACTGCCTAGGAAAGGCCAACGTGTTAAGATAATAACACGATTGAGAAAAACTATTGTTTTGGACCCGGGGTCAGCATGTTGTCGTTCCCGGGGGTGAAGATTGACGAAATCGAGCTTATCTGGTGGGCATCACGGAAATAAATGTGGCGGAACCAGACGACAGTGCCAGAAGCAGGATCTAAACCACCACCGGCAGCACCAACAGCAGCACCAGCAGCAGCACCAGCAGCACTCTCTCTCGTGCGCTGACATGGCCAGGAGATGATGGAAAGCCAGTCGATAGAGTGCACTCCTCTTCACGGCAGCTTACCCTTTGCGTGGGCCAGCTGCTGTAGACGAGAATAAGCTCATTTTTATCCGAACTTGAAGAACGAGAGTTTTGGGCGGTTCTCCGAAACGTCACGAAAACCAAGAAAAGAACAGGCTTGAGAAGCAATCATTTTGAGCCGACCAACCGGTGGATCATTGTTTTTCACGGCCGACTACCCCTGCTTACCACGGATGTATGCATAGGTGGTGCACCATTGAGGTCTCGGTAAAGACCTCCGTTTTGGGTCCTTCTCAGGCAGGTCTTTATGAAAACAAGGAAAGATACGTTTGAGAAAAACTCCCAAATGGGCACACACTACAACATTCCGCTTTTTGTACAATCTAGCTAGTCTGGTGGCCCAGAAGAAGTTTGCTGCTTTCGTTCCCACCGGAAGCGCTCAATTTGTTTCCCCGGTCCCTCGCCTTACATCCTCTCCCTTCCGACGTCCACGAATATCGCAGATCCTCGAGGTCGGCCACGACTTGATCATCGTTTCCGATAAGCCCGATCTCCGCTTCAAGGGCGTGCACTTCGTCGTTCAGGAGAAGGTCTCGTTGACCTTCATGGTGGCCACGATAGTCTTGGAGAAGATCGAGGTACGCACTTATGCGAGTAAACCCATCTTGCGCTTGCAGGGGATGATGATGCTGGAAACTGAGCATTGGGGGGGGTGTAGGGGGGCATTGCGGGGGATGTACCGCACAATTTTTGTGTTTGAACATAACCAGGACGTTAGGATGTATGGTTGGGTGAAACCGTGTCTGAACACTGCACCCAGGGGGGGCGGGGCGCCCCCTCCCCAATCTTCTCGTTCCCCTGATTGAGCGATGGTTTCGAGCGCGAGGAGTTCTGGCCGTCTTTGCCCGATCATCCGGATTCATGTTGGCAGGGCAGGAGGAGGCCCACCCCGACCCTCTTGCTCTTTTACTCTGTCCGAGAAAACTCGACCAATGAAATGATATTTTTGAGATCACGCTCAGCACATAGATAGAAATACACCAACAACGAAAAGGTAGGGGTCGGGGGAGGACAGGAGGATGCCACACACACGATATCCGTTGGAAGGACACACGACGTCACTTGAAGTGTGCTGCATGGTCATCCCGTGTGGTCGTGATAGCCGTTGCTACTGCTGTGGCTGTGGTTGCGATTGTTGTTTTGCGGTGTCTTCGCTGTTGCAGGTTGTCGTGGAGGTTGTTGGTAGATTGGTGCTTGTACGTTTGTCCCGAAACGAAAGAAGCCGTTTCTTTGACCGAAGCCTTCCTTCCTTCCTGTTCTTTCCGCCGCGCAGGGGGAATCCGGCGAGCTCTTCACGGTGGAGCCCCAAGGTGTCCTGGCAATGAGTGCTGACAAGTGGAGCCCATCGCCCGACAACGGCACGGAGGTTAGTGCTTAGGGTATGGTATGGTATGGTATGCCCTAGGATATTGCGTTTCGGTGTTGTGATCATACATGGCAATGGGAATGACCCCTTTTGACATTGTTGATGATGCTTGGTTTTGTGGGTGGTGCTCTTTTCAAGGCGATTGTTGTCAAGCTCAGTGCGTAGGAACGTTTGGTGCCTCTTCGTCTTCGTGCGCTGGCATCGACCAACACATCAGTTTTTGTTTTTTCATCGCGGCATGAGTTTTGGTGTCATCGGCAACACCAATGAGGTACATGCATGGGCTCATGGGCCAGGACTACTGTGTGTTCAGCCTCGCTTGGCCGGCGTGTCGCCGGATGGTGTCAGTTCACATCCAAGGTCGTCTCTGAGCTAGCAGGCCAGATAGCTTAGAGCCAACTCACCCCCCCTCTCCATGCTGATCGCCGCCCCAGGAGGACGTGCACTCTCTCGTGGCCCTGGAGAAGGGGGGGAGGTTCGAGCTCGACGGTAAGGCCAGCTTCACGGCCTCGACCATGACGATCTCCATGAGGAACAAGAGCGAGGAGAGGAAGAAGAACAAGAAGAAGAAGGAGAAGAACCACAAGAACGAGAACAACAGAGGCACTTGCCAATCCACCTCTACCGCCACGGACGACAACCAAAACGCTGCTGGCCCCGGTGATGTCAACGCTGGTGTTATCGACGTGAAACGGGTGAGAGAGAGGTTTCTTGTGTATTTTGTTGGGAAGAGGAGGAGGGTGATGACTCGGCACCGTGACTTCCTCTTGATCCCCCCCCTCTCTCTTTCATCCGCGGGTAGTGCCCCGGGGTGGGGATCAGAATGTCGCTGCCAGCCCTCTCCATCTCCCTGCTC